GTGACCATAAGAACATACAAATGAAGAAGTGCTTCCAGTTCTGGACAGAATTCATTTACTTGGTCTAAATCAGTTTCTCGACAGCAGCACTAGTGAAATTTTGGGCCAGTTAATTCGTTGCTGTGAGTACTGCTCGGTAAACATAGGATGTTTAGCAGCACCTCTGGCATCTACATACTTGGTGCCAATACTACCCCCCTTTCCAGTTGTGACAATCAAATGTCCCTTGGAGGGCAAAAAATGCCCCTGGTGGAGAAACACTGATCTAAATGATGCAGCCATGTCTTTGGGGGATGGGGGGCACAGATGGATGCTTCTATAGGGTTACTAAAAAGCCAAAGAAAGTTCTCAGTTTCCCTGCAGCAAGGTGCCATTCAATCTTTCTTATTCATATTCTTTAACAAGCCTAGATTCCTTGATGCCACTGCACGAAGGCAGTGGTAAGATCCTCTTTGAAAATGAACCAAACAGTAAATTCTCTACTGAACAGACAAGGTTAGTCATCTGTGGGGGAAAATGAAGATACTCTAAATGTGTGCCTTAAGCATCTGGTACCAGCCCAGTCTCCTCAAATCAGTGATGTAGAAGGCCTGGCTGGAATGTAATTGTGGTTCAGTTCTTCAAAACCTAATTAAGTGTATCACAGCCCACTGGGAAAGTAGTGCTATGAAAAGAAGGGAGTTGTTCAGCTACAGCACACAGTCAACCTCTGGATCCAGGAGACAGGGTGCCTTGGATGTGTGGAATCTGGTTTAGAGTTTTCCTGACAAAACCTGAGTTTTGTTAGCTGATGATCCTGAAAGCTATAAAAACTAAGCAAATTCTAGTAATGGCTCCAGTGCAGCTTGCCTACAAGGAGAAAGAAGACTTGTCTGGGATTCCATCCGTTTGTGTGACACAGGATGTCCCAGTTGAGCCAATACTCAGCTGACATAATGCAGGTGGGCAGTGTGAAGAGAAAAACTTCCTGGGAAATTTATCTCATCTCTACCAGTAGATGCTGTGCCTTCTTTTTGCCCTCCCATATCAGCACTGGTCTCTGCCCTAAGCTTGTAAAGAACGAGAAGAGAAATGCTCCCAGACACATATATATTCAAAAGTTGCTCTACCCACCACGAGCCCCTGCTCTGTTGCCACTTCCATTACCATGAGTAGGAAGAAAGACAGCAAATGGTCACTCATGAAGTGTGGGTTGAAGTATTGGTCATTGTGTTTACTTTTTATTTACTTGTTATACTGACCATGAGGCAAAATATCATTCTGGGCACTTCAGCCCATGTTGCTCTTACTTGGTCACAATAAGCCTGTGAGGAAGGCATCTCTAGTTTTATTTAACAATTGAGGAAACAAGCTTTATAGAAGTTGAGTGACTTCCTCAGGACCCATAGATAATAATTGGCAATTGAAATTCAATCCTTTGGGGCTCCAACTGCATTGTCCTTCTAAATACATCATAGCAACCTTCTAGATGACCTCCTTGGATGCTGTCTGGTTGTATTCTCTGGCCCTACTGTTTACGGATAGGCATCTGTCAAAGACAGATGATTCAATCAGGAAACGGTCAGAGAATGGTCTCCATGCTTAAGGGATCACATAGCATTAGAGCTGAGAGAGACTTTGGAAATTGTCTGTTTCCAAACTCTTCATTTTATAGATAGGGAACACAGGGGAGATGAGGATCTATCCAGGGTGATGTGATAGAAAAGCCATATGTAGAATATATGGAAGTATCACAAAATAAAGACTACAGGGTGTGGTAGTAAATGGCGGTGCAGAGAGGGATGAACCAGAGTTAGGGTTGATGACAATACTATTGACAGAAACAGAGTATCAGAGATGGAGCTAGTGGCAGGAAGGTGAAAAGAAGGTGAATTTCTTACTTTCTTTTCTTTTTTTTTTTTTTTAATTTCTACAGCCAAACATGGGGCTCAAACTCATGACCTTGAATTCAAGAGTTGCATGCTTTACCAAGTGAGCCAGCCAGACACCCCAGTGGATTTGTTTCTGAAGAATCGAACTTGAAAAATCAAGTAACTGGAAATTCCAATTAAGGATTCCAAGACTCGAGAAGAGAAGCCATGTCCCAAAACCTGTGAAATTAGATCTCCAAGTAAGAGTCCTAGCAGTGAGACCCAGACACCCAAGAAGGGCTCTGTGTGCTCAACAGTTTTATTAGCCACTTAGATTAAGGCAGAGGAGGGGTGTTTGTTGTGTCTCCAGTCCTTGCAAAGCTAAATGCCATAGGAGTTACAACCAACAGGTAAAATAACCAAAATAACCAAATAACCAAAATAGATAAAAAGAAGAACTGAAATGAACATAAACTTTATCAAGGATCAATGTAAAGTCCTATGTTTCTATTCAGGATTTCAATTACACACCTATGGAATTAATAAGAAAGAATAATAATGATACTAATATCATTTTTTATCTAATAATTATTATGGGCCAGGATCACTATGTGCCCTTGATGGACACTAATTATCTCTCTACTTTTGTGGCTAAAAATTTAAGCAAATTCTCATCTAAATTTTGATAAACCTAAGAATATAAACACAGCTCTTCACTTATACTGTCACCTGGTGCCAAATAATTGCAGTTAGACAACCGTCTGATTTGGTATTAACGAGTCAGGACAGAGGACACAGTCCATAGGGGTCAATTACTTCATTTCCCTACTCCTTGCCATCCCATCTAACTACAGAAAATATTTAAGATGGTGCTTCAAGTCCATCGTGTTTACAATTTCATTTTTTTTCATTTTTTTTAAAGTTCCACGTCAGCAGTGCACATTTTACCAAAACAGGCCAATTCTGTAAAGACAACTGAGTAACCAAGTGGAGAAAAAAGTTACTTCTGCCTAAGCAGATGAATGTAGTGTATGATTATCCACAGTAGAGTTTTGGTTTTCTACCCTATAATCTATGGTTGCATATTGCCTATCAACCACTCTGTTATTAAGCTGGTCTTTGTCCCAAGGGATAGGGGGTGGCAAGTGGAGATCATACAGTGATTCAGGTTCTAGTGCTTTCCTTTACTTAAATTCTCATCTGGATTTCCTAAAAGGGGTTCTAAGGCTTGGTATAGCTCTAGGTTATGGAATGTTTAGAAAGGACTTTTTAAAACCCTCTTGCTCATTTGAGAGAAGCACTAATATCCATTCCTTGTTAGTTTCTTTGGCATGTCTTTCTTACCTCTCCTTTCCTTTCCCTTCTCACTGCTGTGCCCCATGTCCAGGCCCCTAACACTAGAAGCCATCAATCCTCAACTACCGTCATTACAGAATATCCCTGTCCCCAGCTTCCTCCCCCTGTAGTCCATTCTGTCACCCATTAGTAAGCCTGCTGGCATGGCATCTCTAACCCTGTAAACCATTCTCTAATCCGCTACAGTTAGAGCCTCACTGTCCTCTGTGAGCTGGCCACACCCGACACATTCTCCCTTATGACTACCCTCTGGTACCATATACCCTATTCCATAGTCTCTGTTGGATAGAACACTCTCCTCGTCATCCCACCAATGCACTGAGTCATGGCCAGTCTCAAGTGTCAGCTTCTCTATTTCCTTCCTCCTGGTTCATTGCTTTTCCTACAATTCTCACACTACTTTTGCCTTAAGCCACCTCTCAAACCTAGCTCTTGAAGCATCTTCTCCATGAAACCTTTCCTGGCTATCCCAATTCCTTTTCTTTTTTTTTTTTTTTTTTTTTATAAATTAATTTTTATTGGTGTTCAATTTACCAACATACAGAATAACACCCAGTGCTCATCCCGTCAAGTGTCCCCCTCCGTGCCCGTCACCCATTCACCCCCACCCCCCGCCCTCCTCCCCTTCCACCACCCCTAGTTCATTTCCCAGAGTTAGAAGTCTTTATGTTCTGTGTCCCTTTCTGATACCTTTTCTATACTCATTGAGTCACTTACTACTTTCATTGATTCACCTGCCCCCCTCCCATGAGAGTGTAGCAACTTGAAACCAAGGCAAAAGCTGAAGCACCTTCTTGTCCCCTGTCAGTGCAGGTCATACCGCAGCCCTCACCAACACACCCTTGAAATGTCTGACCGCATGGATGGAGCCTACTGGTCCCAGATCAGCAGTTCATTTCAAACCACTATTTACCAAGCACCGACCAGATGTAAGATGCATACTCTCACTGTAAAGGGCCATCCCTCTGCCAATTCCAGGCTAATTTCTCATAAATTTTGTCTCAAAAGCTCTAATTCTCTAGCTCCTTATTATTTGTGGAAACTTACTTGCTACACGTGTCATATCACCCTCTAAAAACTGAAGTTCAAATGGTAGTTGGAATATATAACACTCATTGTGTATTTAAAAGTTTCAGTCTCTAAAAACATGATGCTGTTACAATGAGACAAAAAGATCTTCCAAATGAGAATTTGAGACATTGTCTTTTCCATAACTCAGAGGAGTTTTTTGATTCTTGTTCCTTGCGCCACTTCTGGTTTTTTTTTTTTTCCAAGTGGCTTTTTTATAGAGAATTGTTATACTGACATAAGAACACTGGAAAAACAGATCTCATGTCCCCAAGCACTTGTGATATACACCCACAAAATAAATAAGAGATAGTACAACTACAATGAATACAAATGATTACAATGATCCTTAACATTAAATATTAAATAGTAATCCACAATGAAATAGTTAAGCGTTTAGCAAAGGTTAAACAAGGGTTAGACAAACCCTTTCTTAGACTAGTTTGTTGTATTCAGACTCGGAAAACTGACCTTTAGTAGAATCTAAGCCAGAATTCTCCAGAATTTTCTACCTTAATCTTTCAATAGCAAAAGCCAGCAGGAATAAGCCCACTTGTTCCTACATATCTCTTTAAAAACTCAGTCTACTTCCCTATAGCAACTGCCACCCACTGCCTTACAACTAGCAAAGTATTCCAGGATTTCAATATTTCTCAGATGCAGTAGGAGCATTAAAAAAAAAGAAGAAGCAGAGGAAGGAGAAGTATTAGATAAGGAAAATCTTACCTCAACTTCTGACTGGCAGGGACAGTTATTTTATTAAGCTTGTCCATTCTTTTTGTTAATTATAAGAGCCACGAATAACCGTCAGCAGTAATGTCAGCAGGCCCTGGCCCTCTTAGGGAGAAGCATGGTAAGCCTTTGATCTCAAGGGTCCCAGTCACTTGAGTCTGATTTCCGAGAGTGCAGGCTGCTGGCAAACACCCTACAGTAGGGAGAAGTAAAACTTGCTCGAGCACATAGTCAAGTTTCATGTTTCTACATAATCATGTGATCTGGGTAGCCAGCCGGCTTGGCTGATTACTCCACGTCGTGTAAACTTTAATAGTGAAACCTATTGGACATGCAAATTTCTTTCCAGCTGCTTTCTTTTATAACCAGATTTGTAATCAGGTCAGGACTGGCTTCTGGCTGGTCACTACTTCCTGTTGTCCCAAACACACATAGCCCTGTTTTTAGCAGGTGTCATTCTGTCCCCAGTTGCTTCCTGGGCTCAAGGAAAAGCAGAATAATCAATTCCATCAGGTCTCTTTGGGACTTTCTGCTCATTTGCATAAATTCATGGATAAATTTTTCCACTTAAAGAACCATGATATGAAAACGGCATTTCTGTACTGTCATTTAAAGAGCAGAAGGCAGTTTAAGTCAGGGAGGAGGAAAATGAGAGGGACAGTTCCTTTTATGTCTGGGCACACTTCCCTGCACCCACAAGAAATTCCTGCTCACCTTTGTGAAGAAGGTGCATATTTAGCACATTCATTCAGTGACTAATCCTCTCCTGGGTCTGAAGAATATATAAGAAGGACATAGCAGAGGCTCCAAGTTACCTCTCCTGTTACAGACCCCAGGTCTGGCTGAAGATGGAGGGGGAGATGGGAGGAAGAGCCAAAAGGAGAGACCTGAATGAGGTGGGGTAGGAGGAGTGGGGAGGAGAAAGGGAGGGAGGAGGAGGAGGAAGAGGGGAGGGAGAGGCAGCCTCTCTGGCAGAGTACAAGTGGTAGATGGATTTCTTCCCTTCTGTATCTATTCTTTGTACAAACAGAGGTTCTATATTTCTCTAGGTAAATCTTGATTGTTCACATTCATGTTCTGCCTCTGAGTTTCTAGTTCGACCAGATGTTCAGGAGCAGAATCCTCAAAGCTATTAAAGGGTGGGGCCCTTCTGCTTGGCCAAGCCACTGAATTGGCCAGGCCAGCAAGGGAGCAGACAATCTTTCATGAGAAAAATTCAAGCACTTGCCTCTTCCAATTGTTTATTTTCCCCCAAACAAGAAGCTCAGTTTCCTTGCAGTGTATCCCGAAGGAGTCCTAGAGCCTCACCCATCCTCTCTCCATAGTTCTTAACTGAAAAACAAAAACAAAAACAAAACAAAACTAGTAGATGGGAACAGGGAAAGCTATTACAATGTCACCAAGGATCAAGAAAATCAAGCTTCACTGAGTGGGATGATGTTTCTTCTAAATTACTGTAAAGTGCACCCCATCAGCCACTTGACTTTTCTCTCAACTAACAAATCTGTTTAGCACCTGGACTGGCAACTTCTTATTTCCCCAGAGAAAAAAAAAGCAGCAGCAAGAGTTACACTTCTGCTTTTTCTTTTTACAGCCACTTGTCTTTCTTCTTTCTTACTGTATTAGTCTGACATAATAAAAATGAGAGTCTGCTTTTCCAGACTGGACATTTTGCCCCATGTGGTGTGTAGCATGACTACCATAATGTTCCAAGCTGCCACAACAGCTCTGCAGCTGTAACCAGCTTTCCAAGAAGATCAATGCAAGCCTGGAGATCAAGGGTACCAAGTCTTAGCTAATGACTCGTAAAAAGAATGAGGCCACACGGCATGGTTTCCACAACACATGGAGAACAACGTACTGTAATAAACAGTCACAATTTACATGGCACAGTGCACATGAAAATTAATCTCTAGATGAACAGATGACAAATGGACAATCCCAACCTTAGAGAAAATTTGGAACTCTATGACAAAAATTCAAGTAGGTACAATCACTCTGGAAACACTTTGTTATTACCAAAGTAATTTGGGTCATAGACATGAGAAAGCAGTACGAATATACCGTGTACACCAAGGCCATGTACAAGAATTGTTATGGAAGAACCATTTCTAATAGAAAATTTAAAAACACTGGAAATAATCCAATTGCTCATCAACCAGAGAATGAATACATTAATTGTGGCATATGAATGCAATGGAGTCCTATTCAACAGTGACAATGAGTGAAGTATAGTCACATTAGTATGGATAAATAATAAAAATAATTTATTGCAATAAAGGGAAATTAAAGAAGATCATGTATCACGATTCCTGTTCTATTAAGGCTAAAGACATGTAAAACTAACTAACATATAATTTATGACACACACATTTATGTGGTCAAACAGATGGAGGGAATGATGATGTAAATAGATGTAAAATTCAGGTGAATGGTCATCAAGGAAGGGGGTTGGAGTGAAGGGGAACACAGGGCTTCAAAGACAATGGTGATGTCCTACTTCTCAAGTTGAGTTGCAGGTATACAGATACCTACTGTAGGTATTAAATATTTAACAAAAAATAAATAAAAGAAGATATGTTCTAGAATTATGGGGCAAAGCCAGGACAGCCTGAGTCTCAGCTCTGTGAGATGTTGAGACTTGAGAACAAAAAGATACACTATACTGGAACCCGGGGATGAGACCCAACCAACTCTGGTTTCTCTTGGGTCTTTCCTTGTATCTACTAGTGACGACAAACAACAACATGCTACTGAATGCTTTCCATGTTTCCATATGATGACGCCCACTTCACATGTGAAAAAATTGATTTGTAGAGAGGTTAGGTAACTGGCTGAGAGTTCCGCCAATCATTCGTGGAAGAGCTGGAACTCAAACCCAAGCCTGTTTCTGTACTCTAAGCTGAGAATTACAAAGCTTTGCCATCACAAGAAAGGGCTGTATTCAGGAGGGGGCCCTGCTCTGACACAGAGGCACCAACTTATCCCTGACCTTGGGTGAATCGCTTAGTCTCCCTGACCTCAACTTCTCATCTTTAGAGAACAAAAAGGAGATTCAAGGAGAGCTCAGACTCCTGTCCAGGCACCTAGACATTGGCCCGTGTGTACAGAAATTGAATTCCACCAGTGGAAACACCCTCACAGTTTCCAGAAGAGAAGCCTATGATGGTCTTTACTAGGTTGCTTCCCAATGAGGGATTAAGTGGTTGTGGCAGTTTACAGAGCCTTGGAAGTAGTCCAAGTCTTCACTGGAACTGAAAGTTCAGCTACTCTGCCCTGCCACCCACCTGCTGATGGCTTTTCTCCTGCTAGGGCTGGTTTAGACACACCACCAAAGTTGGCAAGTGGTGATGTTGGTACTATGCGGAATTGTTCTGTGGTTCTTTTGTTTTGTTTTGTTTTTTTAAGATTTATTTATTTATTTTAGAGGGAGAGTGTGCATATGAGTGAAGGGAGGGGCAGAGGGAGAGAGAATCTCAAGCTGACTTCCGGCTAAGTATGGAGCCCGACACAGGGCCAGATCTTACCACCCTGAGATCATGATCTGAGCCGAAACCAAGAGTTAGATGCTTAACTGAGCCACCCAGGCGTTCCAGTTCTGTGGTTCTAATCATAACCTACTCCCACGATGGTCAGCCTCACAGCAACTACGAGGGGCTATTGTTATCATTCGCACTCCTGATGTGAAGTCTGAGCCTCAGAGAGGTGACATAACTTACCTAAGGCCACCTAGTCATCCTGCTCCCTAAGCCAGGCCCCTTAAGTCTTGAACCATTGAGTCTTACTTCCTCTCTTGTGCTGGCCCTCTTTCTTGGGGTAGAGTGGGGTGGGTATCTATAGGAACAGTGGTCCCGGCAGCTTCCTGATACTACAGGCCAAAGTAGCTGTTGGTCAGGCCTATGCCTGGTTAACCAGGCAGTACTAGTTAAGGGCCAAGATGGAGGAAGGTTTGAGAGGAAGCTAAGGGAGGAAGCCTGCACCCAGAGAGCAAGTGGAGAAAAATAGCAGAAGAGGCCAGAAAAGGCAGAGAGAGAGAGAGAAAAGGAAGTGCAGCAGATGCTGACAGTCTTGTTTTCCTCCTTCGTGGGGAATGGGGTCCAGAAGGGAGAAAGAAGGAAAAAGAGAACAGAAGAGATCTATGACTTGGGCAGATGGACAAAGGTTCTTTGCAGCTCAAGTCTCCACTTTTTGTGAGACAAATCCACTCCCCATTTTACCTATTCAGGAAACTTGACATTCTGTAGGTCAAATTGCTTGGAGTGCAACGTGTTTCTCTAGGTGAATAACCTGGATGGTAACAGCCTTTATTCTTGTATCAGTCCAAGTCCCTGGTTGGCAAGGATATTACAGTAGTCTCTTGTCAGGATGGACCACTCCTGGCCCACGTGCCATCACATCCTCCCTTGCCTCCAGCCCTCAGAGTCAATCTGCCGACAAGATTCTCCTTTGTAGTATATGCACTGTCACCCTGCTCTCATGCCAGCCTTGGCCCTCACCTAGATCACCAATCGCTCAGCCTCCTAATACTCCTGGGTAGCCAGATCAACTCTCATTCTCGTTCCCAGCCCACATTCCCAGCTGATGACTCTTCTTAAGGATTTCAGAGGCTTTTCTTCTAGAACAAGTATGAATGTCATTCATGCCCCTCTATGATTGAGTCTCATCTTAGGATTCATCTTATTCCTCACTCCTTCCCAGCAGGTGAGCATCTCTTTGGGGGTTTTCAAACTCTCTTTTCTCCTCCTCAGTTGCACAGCCCCGCCACCAGCCAGGAATACATTGGGAGGCAGATATGAGGGGCCTGAGGCAATTAGGAGGCCAGGTTATTCCCATCAGTCAGGGCCATGATGAAGCCAGAGAACAGGCAAGGGTGGGGTTGCAGTGTGCTCTGTCCAAGGAATGGGAGCATGGAGATGTGGAGAGCCAAGGTAAGACTCACAGCCTCCAGGGGTTGAGCTCCCAGAGGCTAGAAGTTCTTGGTAGCAGATGCTCTGATTGATTATATATTTCTATCATCTTTTATAGAGTGAAACTTGACTAGTTCCTAGTCTTCCTATCCAAACAGTCCACTTGGATTTAAAGGGCTGCAAAACAAAAGCAGACTTGAGCAAATGAGGAGACATCTTATGTTCTTGGGTAGAATGACTCAATATCGTGAAGGTGTCCATTATCTCCAATTAATATATAAATTCAATATGATGCCAAAAGATAAAACTAGATTCAAACCTCA